AGTCATTTCAGAGTGCACACTATCAGATACATCTGACTGCATGATCTCCTGGCCACTGGTCATTACTTTGTGTGAGTGAATAATTTGTCACTAGAGAAAGGCAATCTAGATTTTTTGTTTCCCATATAGATGTGAGAAGGGAGAAAATATCTGCAGTTCTTCTGAAGATGCTAAATCAGTTCTTATCTCCCAATCCATGACTTATACCTATCAACTAAAGTCAGTGACTCTACTCCAGCTTTGAGCTCCAGGAGATGTACAAAAAAGCTTTGGCTGATGCTGCTTTTCTGGATTTTGTAGGCACTGACCACCAGTGATACATCTCTGAGAAAGTGGGTAATGGAGCAAGCAAGTATAAATCAAAATCCTGTTGTTTTCTTACTGTGAATTAAATTCAGAGGCATTTCAGTGCAATTCCTTTAGTACAACCTCATGATAAATTTGAAGCTTAGTAGAACTGGACAGTTCAGTTTGCTCTGTGGCTGCACACTGTTCTTCTACAGGCAGTTGGTATTTCTTTTCTGACCGTTTCCAAGGTGATAGTAGCTCATATATGGAGCTTTCCAGATTTTAGTCAGGAAGACATGCCAATAATGGAATCTTAACTTCTGCAGCGTGGTTCATATTGAATTACATAAACCAATTTCTCTGCCCCTGTTCTATGATATGGATCAACACCAGACTGTAAACAATGGCAAAAACATCGGCAAGCATCTTACCAACAGGTCATCCTTACAGATGTAGTAAGAAAGAACAAGAGGGGCACTTGCTATCAGAGGACTCCACTGAGGAATGACCTGCAATGGCATCTGCTGGGAGCACACCCCTGAGAGCAACACCACTGGAGTAAGAGAGCCACCTCCAGTCCTGGAATGAGCACCGGTACAAGGGCAAGGTGGGGAATTTCATCCCACATCTGTTGCACAGAGAAAAGAAAAAGAGGGCAAAGTGTCTGGTCACATTGCACTCCATAATAATCAAACAAATCTGTGTGGACTGAGGGAGGAACTGGATGTTCTACAGAACGTTTGGAAGCATGAAAACTACATTTCTCAGCCAGTGCTTTAGGCGAAAAGAAAATTAATGTTGTGATTATACTGATATTTATTAAATACAGTGCTGGGGCCACAGGACATTCATACAGTGCAAGTACAGTACAACCTCTGAAGTGAGCTAAGTGTTCCCAACATACGATTGCTACCGGTACTTCCAAATCCATTTACAAAAATGGGAGTATGTGTGTAGTTTGTCTGCCTAGAGACATTTGGTGACATTGCCACAACAGCCTTTCATGAGCTGTTTAGGTGGAATCATGAGTGAAACTAATTAGCCGTGTGGTACATCTTTTGCCTCTAAAATTTGTACGTGACAATATGACATCTTTCCCTTCTGTCAGTAAAACCACTTGTCCTGTTTAGAAAATGATCCGTTAAATCTATCAGGTAGTGCAGTGCAACTGTAAATTAAATAATGTCTTTCTGATGAGCTCTCAAAATCCTGAGGTAATAAAGGAGTATGTAAACTTGTTATCTGGCCCAAATCAAGGAGTCTATTTCTCCTCTAATGCCATCAAATTGTGCCCTCCAATATATTATTTTATGGTAGCAGTTACAAAAATAGGGATGACTGTGATCAGGAAACTCCCATCTGTTAAGTGCTCCAGAAGAAAAATACTTGACAGGTTTTGAAATGTGGGTTTCTGGTTTTGATTATACTAAAACATTACTTCAAATTCATGACCTTTGCTTACTACTGTAAAGAGTAAATACTTTAACAATTAGAAATTGTTAATACAGTACTAATTCATAGAATCATTATTATAATTAATATATATTTATTAACTATGTAATTATTATAATTGCAACTAATGATTTAATGATTAATAATGTTTAAATGATACTTACTTGTAAAATTGTGCAGATGTGTGGGGAGCCCACCAACTTCTGGTAGATTGGCATGGCCAGAAAATACAGAAATACTGACTGAGGTATCATGTTGGTCATTATTACATTGCTGTGCCAACTCTGATACAGCTTTATGTGTACAACAGGAAAGAGGAAGATTTGCTCCAAATTGTGTAACCCTGACCTGACAGCCTGGTCATGCTGGAGCATGGCTTCATCCCATGCTGATGATCCATTGGAGCTCCATGTACGAGGGCCAATTGTAGGATGGGTATTTTCACAAACACCAGTGCCTGCAGCCACACAGATGAGCAGAGGCATTTAGCAGAGTAACAAACAGGCTTAACAAACATTTAGCATCACAGGCCATCTTTTTAAGAATATTTGACAGTTCCAAGGCAGTAGCTAAAGGAAAGCTTTAATTATTTTCAAGAGGATTAGATGAGAAAGATTTAGGGAGCTGCTTTGTTTCGTTTTGATGTTTTAGTAGCCATTTTAATTGTTCGGGGTTTTTTAATCTATCTATCTCTTGAGCAAATTTAATCTGTCATTGACTACAAAGAGTTTGGGATATTCTGCTAGAATTGTAGGAAATTAACTATATTGTTGATCACTATTATTCTGTCCCCTCTCTTCCCTTTGGCTAATAGGAATTATTAATTTTGATTGGGGGTGCACATGTATATGTAACAGCCAATTTTGCTTAAATACATATTTGTATGCAGATTCAACTAAACCCAATCCTGAACGACCCAGAATTTGTCCTTCTTCTATATAATATAGAGGATATGATTAAGGCTTGTATACATCAAAAATAATTTAATTATCTGAGAGAAGCTACGCATTTATTTTAGGATTGTGTGGGAATGGATCTTTGAACATCTCTGTTTCTGAAGTACAGCCACAAAGTGTCTACATCAGTCCTGTGAAAATAACAGGAGGCTTTGTTAAATACAGGCATAGTGATGGAGAACTCCCTGTATGTGATTCTTCCATTCATCATGACATTATTAATCCAAATCTACAGTATGAAACCTTGATCATTCAAGATGTTTTCCACTATTGGGTACATATCTCTATGCAATGCCCAATGAAAGGGATGGGACAGGTTTTTTTCAAAGAGTAGTCAGAACCCTGATAATATATCTTGTTTGCAAGATTTTTTTTAGAAAAATTATTACAATCCTGAGGCTAAACATACTCCCATCACAACTGCATTAAGGATTTTATGGACATTCACCTTCCTGGTTTTTGCTGAAAAAAGAGCATGATAGTAGAAGTAAGAAAGAGAATTAGTGTGCTGAATTTAAAGAAAGCATGTAACTTACCCGTTTCCTCTTTTTCTTTTTTGCAGTATCAGAACCACTGATAAGAAATAACTTTCTCACAGGGTCAAAGAGAGTGAGTGCTGGAAGTGTTGCTGTTGTAGAGATACAATTCTCTGGATAGTGATTTGTTTAGAGGATCATCATTGCGTTTTACTTGCTTTAGTGGTCAAATCTGTAGCAAGGTCTATGCCTTTAGAGCATATGCTGCCATAAAGAACTTAAACACACAATAAACATACATACATATGTTATACATGTATAAAATACATAAAAATACCTACACACATACATGTTATATGGGTTTAAATTACAAAAGTATACACACTGACGCACATACGTGTGTGTTATACATGTGTAAGATGCACGCACTCATTATACATGTACAATTTGCCTCAGCTAATTTTGCTATTTTTACAGGTGTATGCTGAAGACACAGAAAACTTTTTTGTTAGTAGTAAATTAGATGGTAGCTGTTTAGCCAGAGAAAAAAAATACCAAGGAGTATTCTCAGAGTAGATACATAGTTCGTTGGAACACCAGCCTTAAGAGTAGGAAAAATATGAAAGAAGGTCAACTGAAAATACCCTGAAAGGTGTAAAGCTGTGTACATTTTTGTATGTATTGTGTATATCCGTGCCTCTATTCTCCTCCTGGATCCCACTGGGTTTGTTATTCTCCTCGTCTCTCTCACCACCTTTTAGTCGTCATTTGAAGTATTGGTATTGAATAATAATACTAAATTAAGCACAGGAAAAGATAAATGGAACATTTTACCCCGGGTGCAGCCTTTCATTTGCTTAAGGAATCTACACATTCATTTGTGCTGTATGATGTTTTTTTAAAATGTCTCCTTTCCAGTGTTTCCTTTGTGGGTTGGTTTTAAAATTGTCATTCTAGATTGAACAGCACCAAAAAAAACAGAGGAGGCGGAGGAGGAGGGAAGAAGAGGGCGAATATGGAGGAGAAACCCGAGTTTGACCTGGAAGTCAAGAAGAACCCGGCCCTGGGCTCCCTCCCTTCTCCCCTGCCGGCCGCGTTCCGCCGGGGCGAGCGGGGGTTCCGCGAGTGCGGACGGTGCGACCGCGGGATGGAGCGTGGCGAACACAGTGCCACAGCTCTCGGCTTGCTGAAGTAACCTGGAGCGTTTCTCTTCGGAGGAGCCCCTCAGGTACCCGCAAGCGGCGAGGCAGAACTTTGTGAAATCCCGGGGCTGCGTCTGTAGCACCCACCTGGGACGGCTCTTGAAACGGGAAGAGGCGGCAGCTCCCCCTCAACGGTGCGCCCCCCACCCCGTTTATATTCCCTCTGCTCGAGGGCGGGCTGCAGCTGCGGTCGCCCCGGAGCTCTGCAGTCGGGAGTTGCATCGTGTTGA